ACGATGCCAACGAGGTGTCGGCCCGTATCGAGCCGTACTTTTGGGACCCGGTCGACGTCGTGCTGGACGACGACGAGCGCGTTTACGTCCTGGAGACCAGCCGGCATCGCTTCCAGGTCTACGAAAAGGTGTGAAGCAGCAACATGCGATCACGGAGCACCGGCCTTAACGGGCCGGTGAGGATTGAAACGATCAAGAAGGAAGGCCATGATGGGTGACGCAAGAAAGCACGCAAGCTGTGGTGGGACCCACTCTCCGCGCAATGAGTGACCTCAACTGCGTGGTGCCGTACAACAACCCGCGCTACATCGATCAACGACGGCGAACGTCCGCTGTCGGAGACAGTATCAGCGTTCGACAACGGCTACGGCCTCAACCCCTCCATGCAGCCCGTCAAGGATCTGTACGACGAAGGCAAGGTGGCCATCCTCCACGGCGTCGGCTACCCGCAGCCCCATCGGTCGCACTTCCGCTCCATGGATATCTGGCACACCGCCGAGCCGACCAAGGTCGGCGACAAGGGCTGGCTGGGGCAGGCGATCCGCGACATAACGCCCGACGGCGACAACGTGGTCATCGCCGTGAACTTCGCCGCCGCGCTGCCGCGGGCGCTGGTGACCCTGGGCGCGCCGGTGGCCTCGGTAACCGATCTGGATAGCTACGGGCTGCTCAATCACATCGACGCGGCACCGCAGCGCTCACAGGCGCTGGACGCCTTCCGCGACATGTACAGCCGGGCGCTCGGCAACGGGCCGGTGATGGATTACCTGAGCAAGACCGGCCTGGACGCGCTGCGCGGCGCCGACATCCTCAGCTCCGTACCGCAGAATTACGCTTCGACGGTTGAATACGGCAGCAACCCCTTCGCCAAGAGCGCCAAGAGCGCCGCGCAGGTGCTGCTGGCCGACGTCGGCACGCGCATTTGCTACACCCAGCACGGCAGCTTCGACACGCATACCAACGAGGTGGCGTTGCAAGCCAAGCTGTGGAACGACGTAGCGGGCGGCATTCGCGATTTGTACACCGACTTGAAAACGCATGACGCCAGCGACGACGTGCTGATCTTCGTGTTCTCGGAGTTCGGCCGCCGGGTGAAAGACAACGGCAACGGCACCGATCACGGCTCCGGCGGCGTGGCGTTCCTCATCGGCGACCGCGTCAAGGGTGGGCACTACAGCGAGTATCCTTCCCTCGACGACGACAAACTGGTCGAAGGCGACCTGGCCTTCAACCTCGATTTCCGCTCCGTGTACACGGAAATTCTGGAGGACTGGATGGCGGTCGAGGGCCAAGCCGATCGTCAACGGCACGTATGAAAAGCTCGGCTGTCTGAACCTCAACTAGGGATCCTTGGGGCCGATATGCGCACTTTCTTCACGGCGCTGGCTTTCCTGGCAATTCTAATGGCCGTCATTCCGGCGGTCCGGCGATCTTTCCCGCCGCGGCGAGACGACGGCGGTTCTCACGCTTCATCGCATAAAGGAGAACAGGTATGACGCAGGGGAAAGGAAGTTCGCAGATATCATCCTTCTTGGAACCGCTGTTCAATCGGGCCGTCACGTTGGCCCTCTCGCCGTTGCCATTTTCCTGGTGATCTACGTCATCGCCGTCGAGCGGCGCCTCAGTCAGCAGGAACGCCTCCGCAAGGGACGCGAATGAGGTGCGCATGGCGGAACTGTCGGACGGATTTAGAAAAGCCGCCACCAGCGAGCAACTGGCCGGACTGGCGACCGCGACGAGCGTGACCGAGCAGGCCGACAAACTCGGCGCCCTCGAGGGGCGTCTGAACGAACAACTGGCCGTTGTGACGCAGCAAATCGAGGCCCTGAACCAGCAGGCCACGACCTTCGCCGCCAATGATGCAACGACCCAGGCCGAGGAAGACGCCCAGAGTCAGCAGATTGCCGCCATTCAGGGGCAGATGGTTTCCCTGAGCGAGCGGGCCGACGAATTCGCCGGCGCGGACGAGGCGAGTGCGGAAGACCTGGATGCGCTGGCAGCCCAGTTGGATGCCCTGGCCACCCAGGACGACTTGGCCGCCTTGGAAGCCCAGATGGGGGCATTTACCTCCGCCGAAGACGAAGCCGCCCAAAGTGCCCAACTGGCCGACCTGGCACAGCAGATCGACGGCCTGGGCGCGGCGCTTGCCGCCAGCGATGAAGCGGCACAAGCTGAGGAAGACGCCCAGAGTCAGCAGATTGCCGCTTTCAGGAGCGACTGGTTTCCCTGAGCGAGCGGGCCGACGAATTCGCCGGCGCGGACGAGGCAAGTGCGGGAGATCTGGATGCGCTGGCAGCCCAGTTGGATGCCTTCGCCACTCAGGACGACTTGGCCGCCTTGGAAGCCCAACTGGGAGCATTTGCATCGGCTGAAGACGAAGCCGCCCAGAACGCCCAACTAGCCGATCTGGCGCAACAGATCGACGGCCTGAGCCAGCAGGCTGCAACCTTCGCCGCCAATGATGAAGCGGCACAAACTGAGGAAGATGCCCAGAGCGCCCAACTGGCCGACCTCGCGCAGCAAATCGACGACTTGGCCCAGCAGGCCGAGACCTTTACCGCCAATGATGAAGCGA